CTGGCGAGAGCGGGATGCGAGTTGTCTTGCCCTGCCGGTGCAGTTCCGTACAAACCACCCGGCTCTCAGCGTTTCCCTCGGCAGAAGACGCCTTGTCCCTGCTCCGCAGGGAGCGCCGGGGGTGAATGACCGGCCGCCCGGAGCTGCAGCCTGCCCGGGGTGGGGTGGCGCCGCCGCGAGCTGCCCGGGTCGGTACAAGCCACAGGCGGTGTGTCTTGGAGCGAGCGAGCAAAGGGCCACCACGCTGGCTCCCCTCTCCGGACTCTCTTCCCGGTAGGGCGGGGAGAGCACCAGGAAAGCTCGTCGGCACCACCTGCTGGCCCCCGCCTACCGCGCGCTGCCCCGGCTCCAGCGGTAGCGCAGCTAGGACAGGACAGTGTGAAACTTACAAGTGGCGTTCGTGTTTTGTGTATTTCCATGTGTAAGAACCTGAGCGGCACCGCTCACAAGGACACACGCAGTAGGTGAAGTCTTTTTAGAAACCTGCACAGAAAGTGGAAGTAGACGTGTCCCAATAGTTGCACCACCACCGGGCTTCTGGATTTTCATAAATACATATCTATGTACTAGGGTCTGGGTTATACACATTGTAACAAAAATAATGGGCTGCATCTTTCTCCTTGAAATCAGTGAAGTTACACCAGAGATGCACTTAGCCTTTTATCTTTCTCAGTTTCAAACAACACAGCCTGTCCCCCTCATTCAGTGAACAATTTCAAAAGAGTTTCAGTTACTCATTTGAAGTGTTTCATTACTAAATGCTTATTTAGCAAAATCCATACTGTGGGGAAATTGTCAAATGAAACAGCAACATTAATATTAAGTTTTCTAATGTGGATATATGGCCAGTGTTATTTTGGAAGTTTTTTAAATAAAAATACTCAGGGATCCTGATCAAAACAAGATATATGCAATGCTCTATCAGACCCACTTTGGCATAAGCAAAATATATACCACATCAGTGACTATTTTGACTTCCAAGGATCTTTGCTTATCATGCTTGTATTTCTTATGATCTTGTACAGGCATTTGGTGAAGCAGGGTAAAGAAAAACAGTAACGTTTAAATTTGTCAAAAAAACCAAAACACAGTATGACAGGAAAAATATATTCCTATCCAACCAAAACACTTAGTTTTGATTTTTCAAAAAGTATGGATCTCTGTCCAATGGGCTCTATTCTGACCTTTCATATTCTTAAAAATGGGTCTTTGTATTCACAATATGACTTTATAGGTGGCCAAATAGTGCCTGTTGTAAGTTACCCCTGCCCCCCCCCTCCCTTTTTAACTTTATAACACTTCTTACTATGGATGTAAAAAGTTAACTGGTTAATTGATAAGCCTCATCTTTACTGGGTGAGGCTTACTGGTTTGGTTAACTGGTAGGGGCTGGAGCAAGTCCCTTCCAAAGGAGCTGTTTCAGCCCTGCAGGGCTTGCTGGAACAGCACCTGTCTGTGGCGGGCCCAGTCAGCCCCACCTATCGCAGGTTCCATCCTGGGGGCTCTGCAGTATAAAGGTTATTTATCTTTAACTACAGAGATTCCACAGTCTTCCTAGACAATTTATTCTGGTATTTAACTACCCTGAAAGGAAGCTTTTTCAGTGTTCAATCTAAACCACCCTTGCTGCAATTTAACCTATTGCTTCTTGTCCTGTCCTCAGAGGTTAAGGAGAACAATTTTTGTTCCCTCTTCTTTATAACAGCCTTTTATGTACCAAGCATAGCTCTACCAGGAGCAAACTAGATAGAATATTAGGTAGGATGCCACTGCTTAAGTTGTCCTAGCACAAAGCCACTGAGAAACCTTACGCTTTACAAAGATCATGATTGAAAACTATTTTCTAGTACATTAGGCCCAAGATTTGATCTACTTTAAACCATAATACATTTGGTGAAGCCACAAGTTCATCCTGTGATTTAAAGATCTAACCAGCATCCTGTGGCCCAGAAGAAGGCCTTGCAGAAGTAGGGGTATGTCTACACTGTAGGGTTTTTCCGGGATACTGGAGGTATCCCAGAAAACCCCCGCCATGTCCAGGGAACACGTTTACTCGTCCGCTTTTTTTTGTGGAAGAACATATGAACTCTTTCGGGGAGCTCTGTATTCCTAGTTTCATGAGGAATAAGGGCTCCTCCAAAACAGAAGGCTTTCCCACCATTTGGCCTCGTCTACACAGGGCCAAATGGCAGAAAAGCCTCTTCTAAAAAACCAATTGGAAAAAGCTACACAAATTATGGAGCACAATTTGTGTAGCTTTTTCTGATAACAGAGTGTGGCCTAGACATAGCTTAGGACTGTAGTGGAGGTTCCAGATGGTGTCTGTGTACAGCTGGAATAGTCAGAAGAAATGTCTATATTAAAAACAGTAGAAAAAGGAAATTTCTTCCTTACTATTTTCTCTAGCCTTGAAAAAGGAACTTCTTTCCAAAATGGAAGGATACAAAATTCTCATCAGTTCCCTGCTCTGGTTAGTCTCTAGGCTCTACCACAATGTAAACATTAAATAATAATTTAAGCCCTGCGCAAGTCATGATCATGGAAAAGCTGAGGGAGTACTGACTAAGATGGCTGGGTCATGGGAGACAACGAGAGGCAGATATGCAGGACAGAGAATAAAAGATCTAGTAGTCATGAGGAAGACCAGGAAAAAGACCATGAGATGGTGAAGGAGCACATTTAGAAGGTTGGTGTTAGCTTGGAAGACTCCCTTGATAAGAGCACTTGGAGACAAAGAACAATATTCACTGACCTCAAAGAACAAGAAAAATTTGAGCCACCTGCTAATACCTATAAGTCATACCAATCATTAGAGGTTACAGCCACACTATATGGGCATTTGAAAGCATTGGGCCGTACTCTTTGTAGCAGTGTACAACAGCTTACTAACGCACATACTGCCTTGTGGGTTATTGCAATATTCTCTCTAGCTTATGTCTGCACTGGAGGGTATTTTGATTCTGCATATAGGAAGAGTGACAAAGGTTCCTGATGTATGCTGTAGAAAAAGGTATAGCAAGGGTAATAGGCAGCCTTATATTCCTAACAAATTGCCCATTCTATTTCTCCCACAAACCTTCTGGTGGGAGAGAAAAGAGGAGGTGCAAGTCCAGAGATTTTTCTGATAGCACAGAACTGGAAACATCTGCTAAATGACTAAGACTAGCCAAGCAACAGCCTTTCATTTATCTCCTTTGGTCATCCCCTGGAATTAACTCTCAGGAATTGGAGCCCTCAGTGATGGAATAAGAGACGTAAAATTCAGCGAAGCTGGTGCATAACAACAATATTCTGAAACTTGATTTGTTCCCATCCCAGTCTTGGTTTCCCACCTTCTGGTCTGGAAAATGCTGGGGCAGCTACAGAACCCAACTGCTGGAAGGGGGCGGGTTAGGGAAGTGCCTCCTGATATCCAACACCAGCCCCTCTGATTGATCAAGGAACAGTTTTGGTAAGTCTTAGCAAAGTCCAGTCCTCACCCACTTCTGAATTGCTACAGGAATTGCTTCAATATGGAATGAAGGCAGAAGGGGGTAATGTAGATGTCACATCAGTGATGTGTTTAAAATGCAACTTTTTATTTTTCAGGTCTCAGCTACAAACAGCAGGCAATAGGCTCCACTTTTCTGCTTGGGGAATTTTGGCCACTTTGCTGCTTCAACAAGTGAGTGTTCTCATACGTGTAACCTCCTAGGGCCGAGTGGGGAATTGAAGAATACATTCAAAGAGATAAGAGATCAGATCTCAAACACTTGTAAATTCAGTCCAAAGAGAACCCATCCACGGGCGCTTTGGTGAGGCTATTGGTTGTTTTTCTTTCCTGTGCTAATTTTACTAAAGACACAACTCATATTCCTGTTGATTGAACAGTTTTGTGTTGACAGAATTGAAGATTTGTGATGAAACTTATCATCGGCCACTGGAGCAGGCCATTAGTACTAGTCAGAATGGCTGGCTATCACTGATATATTTTATGGCATGCTTAGAAGACAAACATACACATTTATATGTCACTTGTTGCAATATAAATGCTAACTTGTACTTCTTTCAAAACTTTTAATGAATTGTATATGTTTCCAAAGATTTATAGCGTGAACTGAATGGCTCAAAATATTACTTTAAACATATTTGTCACTTTGGCAACAGAACAAAAAAAAATCTGGAAGATATTGCATTTAGAAATAAATCATAAATATATGCATCCTAAAAGAGTTTATTTTGGTCATTAATAGTTGATGCCCCCTCCTCAAGTGGAGGATTTAAAGTTAAATTATGCAAAATCAAAAACAAACCTTATAATACTTAATCAAACATGCATAAAACTGTCAGGGCCAAATAAATTCTCTCAATTAACTTGCTTCAGATTGTGATTGCATTTACTAATTTAATCAACACTAGAATAATTTGGAGGCTGGGTAATGATGAATTACTATGGTACTGCACATTAAGGAACGTTAAGGTAGTGCAGACAAGAATGCAAGAAATGCTTTCGAGGTTGAGAGTAAAGAAAGTAACAGCTAAGCTGGCACAACCCTTTTATAATGGAAACAATTTCTTTGCTATAATTTCTTCTGGAAATATTTTCCACTGAAGATTTCAAATGTCTATCAAGGAGACACGCTATTTAGATAAATTACTGTACTGTATGTTAATCTATATGGTTGTCTTTATTTAAGGATGAATTAAAAGCAAAATGCTTCATGCACCAGTGTTGCTCTGTTTTTGAATGATTTGCTCTGCATTTTTTCTGTTTTTGAATGATTTTATGGGGGTGGCCTGATGGTCTGAGCACCAGACTAGGTGACAAGAACTTTGGAGTTCTAATTCTGGTTCTGATAATCTCTCACTTTTGCCTTTGTCATGTCATTTAGGCTGCACCTACAGTGTCAAAATTTGAACCAGTAACTCATAATCGATGGAGGTCTGCTGCAGCCACATGGTGACAGACTTGACCTTCTCTGTATAATAGTTTCCATCTGTGTTACCCTGATGACAGATGTGTCTGATTTTTGCTACTGTAAGCAAGGTCTTAGGCACTCTTTTTCAGAGGTGCTAAGCATTTGCAGCTTCATGTGGCAGAAGGGAGAACTCTATGGCTGCTCACACCTCTGAAAGCCAGGTCCTTAACCTCTTTGCCTGCTTTCCTATCTGTAAAATATTTCCTTGCAAAGGTGTTTTGAGAATTAATTAATCTTTGTGAAATACTTTAATATGAAATATACTCTCTCTGATGGTCACCTTTAATTTTTTCCTTCTTTCCTTCAGAGTAAGGATCGTGTCTTGTTCATTTGTACAGCACTCAGCACATTGTGGGCATAACTAAAAACAAATCAATAACAACAAATACAGGTTGGACCTCGCTGGTCCAGCACCCTCAATCACCAGACCGGTCCTGAGCGAGGATGTTTGCCAAACCAGGGAAGGTCAATGAGACTGGAAGTAGCACCCTAATGAACCCCAGCAGCACCTCATCTAAACTTCATTGTATTGAAAATACATTGTCTATACAGGTGAAATATAACACATGAAGGAATTTGAATTAAAGATATCTTGGGGCAAGTCTGGAGCATAAATGTTAGATGTAATTGATCCTCCCTGTAAATGTAAAATGTAAGAGTCTGCAAATTTTGTTTTCTTTTATTATTGTTTTCCAAACTCCAGCCCTTAGCCTGAATGTCAGCCTTAATCAGTTGGAAGAGATTTTCACGTGATAAATAATATAATAAAATGTATTAGACCAGGGATTGGCAACCTTTTCAAACCAAAGAGCCAAACTGCATCAAAATTCAGAACAAGTGGTCAACAAAAAGCTGTATAAGAATGCTCATTTGCATGACTGAAAATATGCAACTTAATATTATTGATAATTTACATGATGTTTAATAATAGCATAAATGAAATATCGTACTCAATGACTTTATTTAATGGGAATTCTTTTGCTGCATCTTTTCACTTATTTCTTTGAAGTTTACATCATAACTGGTCAAATACAGCTTCCTGCATGCTTCAGGCAGTCTTCTGTCAATCTTGAATGCAAATTACCTTTGATGTGATTCAAAGGAGAGAAAGCCTTCTCACACATATAGGTGCCACCAAACATTGAAAGTAAGGCCAGGCTTACATTCTTCATGGTGTTGTATGTGACAGGAAGTTTTTTCTAAGTTTGCAGAATCAGATTATCATCGTGCTCCAATTTCTTCATGTCAGCCAATATGTGCAGTTTTGCCAATTCTTAACGTTGTCGAACAAAAGACAGGACTATACAGCACTTTAAAGACTAACAGGATGGTTTATTAGGTGATGAGCTTTCGTGGGCCAGACCCACGTCCTCAGATCAAATTGTCGAACAAGGCATTCTAAATCAGAATTCAGCTTGATGAATTTTTTCACCTAGATATCCGACTCCTTGAAATCTGTTATTTCCATTTCCAAATCGCTGACTAAGATGCCTGGAATGACTGTCAAATCCAGTTCTTCAATAGACGCTTTATGTGGATGAATCATAAACTTAAACAGAGCGCTGTGCTTACAACAGTCAACAAAACGAGACTTGAATGCCATCAGGAGCTCAGAAACAAACCCAGCAAGCTGCTGCAACTCGAGGCTGTTACTTGGATTCTCTCTCTGATACGAATCTCAAAACATTTGCAATCTTTCAAAATGTGCCAGTCTGCCCATCTCAGTATCTCTGATGAAGACAGTCAATTTTGACTCAAATCCATAAACTGCCTGCTGCAGTCAGGACTGTATTTCTGGAGCTTAAGATTCAACTCATTCAAATGACTAGGAATGTAGATGAGATAGTAAAACTTGAGCAACCAGTCACAGTCTGAAAGCTCAGAGTGTTTCATACCCTTCATCTAAAAAAAAAACTTAATCTCATTAATGCAGGTGGCAAAACGAGACAAAACTTTGCCATGAGATAATCAGTGAGCATTGCTGTGCATTATTAGTTCGGGGTATTTGGAATCTACTTCCTCGAGCAGTGACTGAAATTGACAGTGATTAAGAGCTCGGCCAAGAATCCAATTGGCAATGCGAACAACCCATCCCATTACATTTCTGAGTTCGGTTCCACAAGATTGCACACAAAGTGCCTCCTGATTCACAATGCAATGAAAGTTCAAAAGTGGGCAGTTCAGCTGTTCTGACAAAAGAGTAAGAAATCCCCTGTATCTGCTGACCATGTAAGGTGCACCTAGTCTGTACACTCATTCTTGTTTACAAAGTTCATCACAGTTTTAAGAATGTCTTCGCCCCTTGTTTGATTTTCATTGGTAATATCTAAGTCATTTCTTCATGCACAGCATTGCCACAAATATATCGTCCCAATATACAAACTGACGAACGTCACATATGTGGGTTGTCCCATCCAAAGCAAACAAAAATAAGTAGCTGTACTCAAATTTTGCATTTGTACCTTGTTTTATTGATGGGCCACTTTCACAGCTCTGTCATGAACTGGTTTTGCTGATAATGGCATGTCTTGAATTTTCTCTAAGGTTTTGTCCTTACTGTGAAACTCATAAAATAGCTCATGATCGATTTTTAGCATGCATCTTTTCACATAATCCCCGTCAGTGAAAGGCTTCCCCTCTTGAAAAATGCTGTATGATCCTACAAAACTTGCAGAGTTTAAGCTCTACCTTTTTTTTTTTTTTTTTAACCATGCCAGCAGGCTATTTTGCCCCAATGTTCATTTTTCACTGTAGCTCCTCTCAGGCTTTTGTTTGCATGCATCCTCAGGGAATTTTGTAGCAAATGCTGCATGTTTTGTCATGAACTGCCATTCTCAATTTGATTTCTTTGAGGACAGTCTTGCACGACAAATGAGACTGTGGAGATCCAGACCTAGCCACAAATGCATACAAGCCTGTCTGTTCCTTTTGAAAATTTCAGTCCTCATCTTCTCTCTTTCTCTTTGCCATTTTTGCTGTTAGGGGGCCACAGAGGTCACCATCACGTATAATGATGGAAAGATTTCTCGACCAATCAAAATAAAAAGAATATGCACAACTCGCAACGAGTGGAGAGACTGGGTGGTTATTAAAATGAACAACTAAAGGTGAAATAAACCAAAAAGGACCATCTTAACATGTGTAGTGATGCAGTTTCAAAATTTTGAATATACTTTTCATTTCAATTTAAAAAGTTGTGTGTATTTTGGGAGTGACAAAACAACCATATTTGGTTCCGTACTGATCCATATTCGGCTCTAGAGCCATCGGTTGAAGACCCCTGGTCTAGCAGCATCACCAACACTTCCACTGCTAACTGGGTTCTTTGAAGACATTAAGGGGTCAGTTAGAGCTAAATAACAGCACAGAACACTGAGAGCCAAGACTGGCGGCTGTAAATAAACTTTATGGTACTGCAAGAAAGTCTCAGAAGTCTCTCCTGTGCTCTGCATGAGGCTTTCATCCATGGATCTAAAAGTAGATTAGTAACAGTCATGAGCTAGTATCACGAGCTTTCGTGGGCTAGGTCTCCCAGCAATGCTGGGATTATCTTCTTCGTTTTATCGAGTGAGAGGGGGAGGAATGGAGATGTTAAGATGAACATTTTCCCTAGTGGCCTCTGATTTTTGGCTGCCCAAACCAGAGACTGATTTTCGGGAGGGCTGAAATCCAGCAACTCCAGCTGAAGTCAACAGGAGCCCCCCTCCCCGCTCATAAATGTAGCCTGTCTCAGAGTCACAAGCTGCCTGTCCTCACAGACCCGGCTCCATTCCCTGCTATCCTGCCGACATCTCCACTTCCTTTCCATACTATTCCCTCCATTCTCGCCAACAGCTCCCTTTGCATCCTTCTCCACTCTGGTTTTTGCATTGTTTTCTGTAGTGCCCATTGTTCCTGGAATTAGCATCCTTTGCTTTGCCGGGCCAGCACTCTTCATGTACCATCGGTGGAGCTAACCTGTCAGTAGGGCAACCGGGGGGGAATTTGGACTCATCTAGACTATGGAGAAGATTCGAAAGAGGATATGCAAATTCCGCATAGTCAAGATGCATTTTTTTGGCAACCCCTTTTTCGAAAAGCCACTTTCCCTCAAAAAATGAGGTTTATGCGGCTTTTCGAAAAAGGGGGGGTTTGCTGGAAAAAAAACGTGTCTTGACTGAGATCAGAAGAAGATATGCACATTCCTGTGGAATTTGCATATCCTCTTTCGATGCTTAGTGTAGTCTAGATGAGCCCTTTGGGAAAATCCATTGCAGTGAGCCAGGCTGTTTGCACTGGGAAATATTCTTTTATTGGTACCTGTTTCTCTCTAAGAACTATTTCCCAGTGAGTGAACTGGGCACACTCAAATACAAAAGAACAAATAGCAACTATACTTTAGTACAGGTTGAACCTCTCAATTCCAGCACCCTTGGGACCTGACCGGTGCCGAACCAGAGAATTTGTCGGACCGCGGGAGGTCGCTATTGTCTAGCAGCATTACCAACACTTCCAGTGCTTCCTGGGCTCTTTGAAGACACTCAGGGGTCAGTTAGAGCTAAATAATAGCCCACAGCACTGAGAGCCAGGACTGGTGGTTGTAAACAAACTTTATAGAATCGTGGGAAAGTTGGCCACACCCATGATAAGGGGACATCCAGCTAACTGTAATCATGCTGGGCCATGGATGTTGCTGGACCAGAAAGTGCTGGACTAGAGAGCTCCAACCTGTACTTGAAAGCACCTTTCATTGGAAGGTCTCCATTCATTCCTCAGCCATTCATCAATTCAGCCTCCCTGAACTCTGCATAGGAACTGCTCTGTTCCCATTACATAGATCTAGCTGTCTAATTCATTTCGAAGATGCCTTTTTAGATCCATCTTGGCAAAATGAACTTGCCCAGAGAGACAATGGCAGAACTGGGGCTTGACACTGGGTGCTCCCTCCCCGTTCCTGCACTAGTAGGAACATCCAGGGTGTTAAGTGCTTGCATGGGTGTGTCCAGGGTTCCTGTCTACTCACATTTTCCACAGGCTTTGTTATGCCTAGGGGAGCGTGCCCAGAATGGGGTTGGTGCTTACACTGGAAACATTTTGAGGAAGGGTCTGCTTTTTTCTTCTGTGTATATTCAGCACTGCGCACAAGAGGGTCCTTGTCCATGGGCAAGGCTCGTAGATATTAATAGAACACAAATAAATAAATAATCAGCAGCTAACTAATTATTATAATTAATGATCACACTGGGAGTCACATATAGTGATGAAATCATAAGAGATCTGGTGCTCTCCGGTGGTTTTAACTCCATGGTGACCAGATCTTACTTTATTTTGTCCTTATAAAAGTCTCCCTATGACAAAAAAACAGCCAGTGAGAAACACAAACCCAGATACCGAGATATTCAGGTTGATTCTAGCCTGGGAATGTCTGCATAGCGCCAAATTTTGAAATAAAGCACTGTTCCGAAACATCCCTTACTCCTCGAAGAATGCTGTTAAGACATGGGATAGCTATTTCAGGATAATCCAGTATCCCAAAATAGCATTGCAGTGTAGACGTACCCTTAGGTTATGTCTACACTACAAGGTTTTTGAGCAAAAACCAGAGGACAGTCCCCACCTCAAGTGCATTTTTGTACACACAAAACCCCCCCAAAACAGTAAATCAACAGGACAGAGGGCTTTTGCCTGTCACTACAGTTCTTGCATAAAAAAGGCATGTGTGGATGTTCCACAGGAGTTTTTGCACAAAAAGGGCCTATCAGAGCTTTCTTGCACTAGA